TTTTTTTGTTCCACTCTTTGTTTCTATGGGGAAAATTGCCAATGCAATATCACGGTCTTCCTTTTAAACAAATAAACTAAAATTTTTTTTTAAATGTCAATGGCTGTTGAAAATAGTAACTCTAGTCCTAATAACCACTGGGAAGCATTTCTTGCTCAATTTTATCCTACTTTTTCTACAGCAAGTTACAGTGGATCAGTATATTTGATTTGGGAGAAATGAAGTAACAGCTGCCCAAATTGAGCTTGAGCACGCCTGAATTTTGAGGGTGTTCAAATCTGGAAGGCAGGTGCTAGACTCCCTTTCTGAATATTAGCTAAATCTGGAAAGGAAAAGTCAATTTCTGCTTCCATGGCTCAGAAGTGGAAATCCTCCTATGAGCCTGGTACGGTATCTAAAGCTGCCCAAGTCCTCTAGCAGAGCCTCCCCTCCCTTACTTTTCATTTTAAATTCTAGTGGGATCCACGTACCTTCCTTGCTAGGCTTCAGATAGAGAGGTGCACTGTCCATTTAGTCCCCCCAATTCTTCCTTTGGGGGGCTGCAAGGTGAGGTCACAGCAGTATCCCCCATCCAGGCTGGGGATGTCTTCTGAAGGGGATATTCTAAAGCCTTCTACTCCTTGGGCACACTTGTTCCCCATTCACAGGACCACCACTTCTAGCAGTGAGCTCTCCATTCACAGCAAGCTGCAGCATGAGGTTTCAGCTACATACTTCCTCCCCCTCCCTTTCTTGTTGATAGCGGCCAAGGGAATGCTGGAAAATGTAGTTCTTTCCCTGCTCCAGGGCTGGCTCTATAGGCAGGGAGCTAACCAAGGAGCTACAGCTCCCATGGCCCCCTGTTGATTCTCAGCTCCCATGTTGGATCCCTGCCGGCTGCTGCCCCTGCAAATGGGCTGCCCCAAGCACCTGCTTGCTTTGCTGGTGCCTAGAGCCGCCCCTGCCCAGTGCTTTACCGAGCTATACATAAGTATAATTATCACCAGTTTACAGATAGGGAAATCGATGTACAAAGAATGTAAAAGACTTGACCAGTGTGCCACAGTAAGTCTGAGGAAGTCTCCCTGTTCAGTGCTCTAAAGACTATACCATGCTGCTACTCTTTTAAATATATAACTTTGTTTTTCTCCTTACAGGGTATTGAATATTTATATGTGTTACAAAATCTGAATTTATATTACAATCATATCTCATCCTTGCTGGAAGTGTCACGTCTCCAAACATTACCAGTCCTCTCAGAGCTGGATCTGCGCCTCAACCCCGTTACCAGAAAGGAATCAGATTATAGACTGTTCACTGTCTACACGCTACAAGCCCTGGAAAAACTGGGTGAGAGAGATTACTGTTGAATGCTGAAGAAAAGGTATTCAATAGCAGCAATCGGTTATTACTGGATCAGTGACATAAACTGTTGTGGCAGTTCATACGCACCCTGGGAAGGAGCCTTTCTCCCATGTCGTTTATCAGCTCCTCAGGCTCCTCCCTTCTTGCTGAGTTTATAATCATGCAAATTGTGGTTCTTCCAAGTTCTGCAGGTAAAGCTGGCAAAACCGGTAATCTCTACAGTTCCCATAGTTGTGGTTCAGAGAACTTATAAGCTCTTCAAGTTTAACAGCTCAGTATTTTTCCTTCCTTTTCTTAGAAAATCAAAACAAACAATCGTATAAATGTAACTTTACAAATTTACAACTACAAATTGAAATCCTCAGCATAGCAAACGAAAAACATAAGGCGCTCCTAGTAATGCTGATTCAGCCACAAAGTTGTTTATTCCTGTGTTGCTTCTCAAAGGCTCAGCCCTAGTCTACAATCTTTTCTGCTGTGTGTAAGGACTGTTTCTACAGTCTGGGCAGAGCTGCTCTCCAGTTTATTTTTTTATAATTCTGTGTTTTTCCGACTGTTTGAAGGTACTTGGTTAGACCCCAGCATCACTTTATGCTCGCCCTAGAATTAAGTCTTCATCCTGAATTTATCACGTTGCAGTCTGTTGCTATGGAAATAACTGAAGATAAAAGCAGGTTTATGACTTCACTATAGAATCCATGTGAAAGAGCTGAAGTCAAAGCAGTATGTCTGACTTCGGAGGCTGTTGCCATGGCAGTAGACTGTAAAGTGAAGTATGCCCTGTGTTGGCCTAGCCTTTCTCCGTTTGGATACTCAATTCAGTGCACAGCGACTATGAGTCAGGGAGGAGTGTGGCTAATAATTCTGCCCCATCTTGGCATGTATGAGGCACTCCAACCCCAAAATGGACTAAGGTAAGTATGTATACTTGGGCTACAGTTTTAAAGAGCCTTGAGTAACTTAGGCCATGTCTACATGACAAAACTTTGTCGACCTAACTTAAGTCAGCATACAGACACCACAGTTATTAAATCACTGGTGTGCACACACGCTTGGCTCCTTGTAATAGTGGTGTGGGTCCTCACCAGGAGTGCTTGTTATCAATTGTATTGTCAGCGCGGGGCATTGTGGGATGGCTGCTGAAAGGCAGTAACAGTTGTAAGTAATGCAGCCTCCACACTGATACTGCGGCCACCTAATTACATCGACCGTGACTCTACGCCGCTCGGGTTGGTGGTGTTACTACATCAGCATAGAGGGGCACTTATGTTGGCGAGAGCCAAATTTAAGTGAAGACCCTTCCACAGCTAGGGCGACGCAAGGCAGCTTATGTCAACGTAACCCTGTAGCGAAGACCAGGCCTCAGTCCCTTTTCAGATGCGATTCCAGCACAAGAAAGCCTAGACCTTATTCAAAGTCAGTGGAAGTTAAGCTCCTGATTCAGAGGCACACTTGAAAAGTTTACTATTGGTATTTAGGTCCTAGCTTAAAATCTCGGTTGGAGCCATAGTAATGAACAGCACCACTCTGCTCCCTTGATTCCTCCCCACCTTGACTTAGATCTTTTTAGGCCTGGCTTTGGAATCATCAGGTGTTTGGCTGTGGACAGAGATTTCAATGTTGTAATGAGGCAGGGATCCATTGCCACACCCAGAGTCTCTTTTAGATGGTTTTATTGTCCCAAACTTAAGCAACTCAAACAAACACAGTTCTGCAGTTCACGCTGAGCTATAACTCCCAGGGGTTGTTTCCTCTTTACCTCTCCGGCACTCATTCTACCTCCTCTCCCAGGAGATTCTGGAAACCTTGCTTCCTCATTCTGTCTCATCAGGTCTTTCTTACTTCCCCAGGTCAGGGGCCCTCCTTTAAAGCCTAATCCGGGGCCAGGTCTGCACTAGAAATTAGGTTGCTATAAGGTATTCCAACCTAACCCCTGGTGTAGACAGTGCTATGTGGATGGGAGAGCTTCTGGGGGAGGTAGAGTATCTATGCCCATGGAAGAAGCCCTCTTGTTGGCGTAGGTAGCATCTTCACTGAAGCGTTAGAGCGGCACAGCTGCTCTTGTGCAGTGTTTTAAGGGTAGACCAGCCCTGGGTCAGCTGGTGCAGCACAGGTACACTGGCCCTGCCCCCTCTTAAAGGGTCAGTCACCCTGTAACAAATGTCTACACTGATTTTATTATATTCATCTGGGGTCTCACGGCCTCTGTAACAACCATCAAATTGGCTCAGGTAGTTCTGTAGCATATTGGGGGATTTGGGACACATTGTGTTGGGTCCTACAAACACAAACTGTTCCTGCCTGGGAGGGCTTAAGATTTAAAAGACCTAAACAAATGAAGGGGTGGGGATGGGGCTATAACATATAAACCAATGAATACTCGATTTTGTGTTAGTTACATGTTTTGTTGTTGAGTTATTTATTTTAAGTTGGGTGAGGTGGGATGACAGTGAATGGCAAGAAAAGAGGAGTTAATAAGAGTAAGGGAATAAGAACAGGGAGAAAGAGGGACATCTCAGCTCATCATGTGCCTAGCCAAGTGACGAAAATGTGCTCTACTTCTGGCTGTCCTTGAAAAATACCTGAAGATTTCAACTGGTGCAGAATACTGTGTAACTCACTTCTTAAGGAGGGTGACCTGTTATGAGCATGTAACACCAGTGCTCTGTACTGGGATATCGGATTATTCTTTGAGTGCAATTCAAGGTGTTAGTTATGGTCTTTAAAGCCCTGAATGGGACTCTCCATCTGGGAGATCTCTCTCTAATATATGCTATTGCAGGAGTTACAATCTTCTTGGTTCCTTGGGTTAGACTGTCTATGGTGGGCAGGGGGGTGTTCTCCGTGGAGAGCCAGGCCTCTGGGCCTTTTCCCTCCAATGTTCAGCTGGAGTCAGAGTCTGGAAAGCTTCATGACATAGACTAAAAGACTTATTGCATTGGGAAGCCATTTGAAAATCTTTGGCTTAACGTAACAGGGATTGGAGTTTTGCTAAGGAACAGGGGTTCCATTGATGGGCCTTTCAGCAGCTTGAGAGACTTGCATTTTGTCATCTTCAGACCTGCTGATTGTTTATGGTGGAGTGGTGCCTGCTCATGTGTGCTGATATAAATTTCTGAATGAATGAAGGGACAATGAGGTGATAATTTCAGCATTATGGGCAAAATGTTCCTGGGTACTTATGCGCGATAGAAGCACCCAAAGTGCCCAGCACACGCTGTATTACTTACCCACACCCCCAGTCTAGAACACTGCTGAGAGTCCCAGCAGCTAATGTATCTTTTAGTCAGAGATCTCCATGTTTCAGCCTAGAACTCTGACACAGGGTTTACCTGCCGGGGAAAGGTGAGATCTCACTGTTTACTAGTCACAGGATGACAGCACACCCAGTGACAGGAAGGGGAGCAGACTGTACCTTCTTTCAGTCTTGAGTTGATAGACCCTTCACTCCAAAAGGCTGGCGGCTGCTAGGCCCCACTGCTTGTGCTCTAACTCTTCCAGTAGCCTCCCCTTCCAATGTTCTGCCCTTAACCCCACAAACATCCCTCTAGCCACAGGTTTTTGTCCCGGTGCCAAAACCACCACCATCAGCTTACTGCAGTGCCAATAGCCTTGGGATATGACCCCCGACGTCTAAGGGTTTGACTACACGGTGGGGTGATGCGCTCTACGGGGTTGTGATTTCTAAAGCACACTAATGTGTTGTGCATCCATTGATCTGTGTAGACAATACACGAAAAGTTCCATAATGCATCTTAACGTAATACTATTTCAGACAGCCCTACGTTAAAGCCCACCAGCAGGGTCTGTGCAGCCCAATTAATGCGCTACATGTTAGTGCACTTTAGAAATCACACCTCCGGAGAGCGCATTACCGCACCACATCAACAAATCCTTAGTGCCAGACATGAGTGAGTGAAGTTCGAGCTCTGTGGACACAGCCACTTGAGTGTTACTTTGCAATGTGGCTCCTTGTACTCGAGCTAGGCTAGCTTGGCAGAGCTCTCTGACGTGTAGTTAGCACACGTTAGCGTCACGTCTGAAAATTACAGCCTGAAAAGTGAAAGTTTAAGAAAGTCATAAGTAATTGAAAAGGGGAGGGAGGGTAGAGTGGAGTTGTTTATGTCATCTTCATTTAAACAGTTGCTACCGCTCCCACAAACAACAAAATTCAGTGCATTCATCTTATGTTTCTTGGTGACACTAAATACACAAATTTGGGCAATGAGTGATAAAGCAATTTATCAGAATCTTAGAAATTAATTCCCTGCTGATTTTGAATTCACGTGCTAATAAATTGATACACTGAGTAGTCATATGGAAATATTGGTGTAATAATATTAGCAGCTGCACTGTGAGACTATCCCATACATTCCAAATGGGCTTATAGAGAGCTTTAGTCTTTGGTTAGGTTAATCGGTGATCCGTTTTCTAATAATTAATGGAATTTCACCTGGTGTGGGAAAGGCTTTAATTGTTAATATGTTACTTTCCCGAGTTGTGGTTGTGCTGTATACAGGCTGTTGCTGTGGCAATTTCTAGAGTCTGTTTTTGCTTACCCTTGTGATAACCGTCGTCAGGGCTGTCCTGTAACGCTACTGTGCTTATATGCAAAAAGAAATCTACAAATGTTCAAATAATCTTTCCTCTTTTTAGATGACAGAATAGTTAGGGAGAGTGAAAGAAAAGCTGCCCTACTGCATTTTGGCCTCAAGAGAAAAGAGGAGAGTTTATTTTCTGAAAAAGAAAGCGTAAGGTAAGCGTTTGTTTTGTATTTAATTGATCGGACCCTACATAGTGACTTGATGTTCCTTTGCCATGTAGACAAAGTCCCTGGAAATAAATATAACAAACCCTCCGCCCTCAGGAATCTATGGGTATGTCTACACAGGGATCAAAAACCCACAGCTGGCTTGGGTCAGCTGACTCAGGCTAATGGGGCTTGGGCTTTAGGGCTGAAGAATTGCTGGGCAGACATTTGGGCTCAGGCCTGGGACTCTGCGAGGGTGGAGAATCACAGAGCTTGGGCTCCCCCGAGCTCGAATGTCCACCCAGCAATTTTTAGCCCCCTGAGCCCTAGTCAGCTGACCCAGGCCAGCCACAGCTGTGCTGCGGGGCTTTTCTCCCTGTGTAGACATACCCATGAATCTCTGGGCCAGATTCAGCTTTGGGTTAGCAGATGCCACTCCACTGATTTCAGTTTGGTCCTGATGGTAAATAGTTACTATCTCTTGGAATTATCTGCTGGAGAGATCATGGGCTGTAAACAGTGATTAGTACTTTACTGTTCTGCCTAAAATCTGTTCAACTGATTATCTAAAAAGTGACTAAGCGCTACAACAGACGGGAATATTATGGAACACACCCTAGCTATATCACTGGGAAATCTGTCTTTCTTTGCTTTGTGTCAATTTGCTAATTCATAGGGTTTTGTATTATTCAACTCCATTTTCTGCTAAATTGTCTTAGTTCTTTGTTTTATAAATACAGCACCATAAGTTGGACCTGTACTTACAAAATATATTGCTTTGGGTTATGCTGCGAAAGGCAGCAGGCAACATGATTAACTGGCACACACAAGTATATAATTTCTCTGACTATAAAGGGCAAGCTTTTGAAAAGAGCCTGGATTTCTTTTAGGCACCTAACTCAAGTGGCGAGATTTTCTACCTTTGAAAATCTGCCTGCTTCAGCTGGGTACCTAAATAGGACCTGAGCTCTTTTCAAAATTGGGCCAGCAGTGTTTTGCAATGTCTTATTAACGCCAGACATGCAAGTTCTGGTCATGTCTCAATAGATGCAATTCCATGCTGAAATAGGTTTAAAATGGGGGGTCCATTTCTGTTTGTCTCTATGTGTAGTTGTCTTTCTGTGTGAAATTTTACACCGTGATAATTCATGTCCTTTTAATTTTTTGTGTAGGTTTTTTAGCTTCTTATTATAAATTTCTAATGCAAGTGTTTTTGGAATTAATCTCTGACTAAAATTTGGCAGGGGGTTTAACTCTTTATTGTTGATGGGTCACATTTCCAAAAGACCTCAGCACCTAACTGCTCCTGTTGTTCTCACTGGGAGCTGCTGGCAACTGAGCACTTCTGAAAATCGGGTCCCACTTGTGAGTGCAGAATACTTCTGAAAATCGGGTCCCAGTTGTGAGTGCAGAATACTTCTGAAAATCGGGTCTAGTGTGCATCTTTAAACCAAGGTTGACTATCTACACAAAAATTACGAGTTAAAATTTGCGCATATGTGAGGGGGGGAAATGTTGGGTTAAGGGAATTTTTGCCATTTTTCATAAAAGAAAATGTATCTGTCAGCAGAGTCTCAGTCAATGAATCTTCTCTTTCGGAGACACTCACAAAGAATTGTCCATTTACAAAATGGTTCCCATCTCCCATTGTTCTCTGTAGGCTTGTTGCCTCAGGCTGCCCTCAAATAATTAGGTGCCATTTCCCCAGGTCTTATAAGGAAGAAGTTTAGATTGCCCATAGCAATAATGGCCACTGCTTCTCATTGTTCTCAACTGCAGTATAACTGTTGAATATTCCTCTTATTAAAGCCAAAGACTCAAACACAGAGACAGTCTGTTCAGTGGTTGTAATTTTATACAACATGGCCACTGAGTTTTCCCAAGTGTAAAGCAACTCTGTCTGTAGCCCAACTTCTGTAATGGACCCAAATACAACAGTGCTAGGGACTTCCTTTTTCCACTCAACATACAGCATTATTCATAGTACTTCTCTCTCCTTGCTTCACCAAAGTAACAATCAACAATATTTTAAATGCTGCAGACGGCTCTGTTCCAGATTGGCATATACAAGTCTTGAAAATCTATTTACATACCAATAACTCTTTGCAAATATTTTAACAAAATATTGATCGCATTTACATAGCTGAAACAATACAGAGAGAGGATAGAGTGCCTGAACCCTGAGATATATTCAACATATTTTTCTGATTTTAAACCCATTGTGTTCCCCATCCCATGAGGTTCTGAGTTCCTCCTGAATAGTGATGATTGTTTCCCAGCTCCCACTGTCTTCAGGGGAAAATTAGGGATCTCAGCCGCTTCCAGTACTGGCTGTTTTACCATTGTCTTCAATGGAAGCAATATTAGACCATCCGATCTGAATCCATTTTAAGTTAATGTAAGGGCTTGTATACATGACCATTTAGTTCGCAGCAAGCTGGGGGTTTGAATCTACCCCACGCTAACATGTCACACACCAACTTTCCATATGGAGCCTGCTGATGCACACTGAGGGCTTGTCTACATGGTGCATTA